GTTTTGTGTGGGGTGTGTGTGTGTGTGTGTGTGTGTGTGTGTTTAATAAAAGTGTGTTGAGTCCCGGGTGGTGGTGCACACCTTTAATACGTTGAGTTTTTTGTTTGGGGTGTGTGTGTGTGTGTGTGTGTGTGTGTGTTTAATAAAAGTGTGTTGAGTCCCGGGTGGTGGTGCACACCTTTAATACGTTGAGTTTTTTGTTTGGGGTGTGTGTGTGTGTGTGTGTGTGTGTGTTTGAGTTGTGTTGTGTCCTGGGTGGTGGTGCACACCTTTAATACGTTGAGTTTTTTGTTTGGGGTGTGTGTGTGTGTGTGTGTTAACTAATAGGAATGCCTGAAAAAGAACAAAACAAATGAAGTTGAAACAACTATTCTGGAAGGAATGGAAGACAGTTTTCCAGAGATGGACAATGAACTGGGCCTACACTGGATAAAGCTAGTAGGGGTACATTTAAATTCTTGTGAAGAGAAAACATCTAGATGTTTTCTGTTTTCTCCATTTTCAATGTCAGAGGAGGGGAAAGTATCCAGACTACTGAGAAATCAAGTTATGATCGTAAATTTTTTTTCTTGCAACTCTAAATGCTAGAAAACATTGGAATACAAATCATAGAGAAAAGTAGTTTTGATATGAGACCTGTATACCTGCCAAATTTAGAGACTATAGGGATTTATGGAGTTGGACTATATACAGTTTGCATTATAATATAGACACTAGGCTTCAGGGACCAATAAGTTGAACATGGTAATTTGAATGAGAATGCCCCCCACAAAGGCTTACATGTGTGAATTTGTGGTCCCCAGTTAGTGGCACTGTTTGGGTAGGTTTAGGAGCTATGGCATTGGTGGTGAAAGTATGTTATTGGGGGTTGGCTTTTTGATTCCCAGGCTATGTGCCATGCAATTTTGTGGTGGGGTGGTGGTGGTGTGATAATGATGGTGGTGGTTTTGTGACTTTGTAGTTTTTCTATTTCCAGCTTGTGGTTAGAGACATTCAGCTCTTAGGATCTAGATTCTGCTGCTTCTACTCCACCATCATGGACTCTAACCCTCAGGAAATATTTTATTTTGCAAATTGGCTTAATTGTCATGTTTAATCACAACAATAGAATAGTAGCTAGTAAAGCATCAGGAAGAAATTCTCAAATATTCAGTGGTTAAGAAAATATGTCAGAGAACTTTCTCTGAAATTTTTGCTGAATGATGTAGTGAAGCTAATTGAGAACAACAGTTAAATGACTAAAGTGGGAGAAAATTGCATGGAAAAATAATGGTATGGAAAAAAGGGATGAGGCTTGAATAGTTGTATGTAGGATGATGAAATGAAAAATATTTGAAGCTTGGTTCTAAATTTTTCGGTTTATATATTTCTAATCTCAAGAACATGACAAACATTTAATATATTGAGTAAATAAATGCTTTTTTAATTCCTGCCATGTGGTGATGTACTGAGAGGCATGCATATTTTTTAGCTAAATATATATAAAATGCTTTGTCACTGTGGACATGACCATTCAAAATGTTAAGCTTACAAAATTGGGAAACTAAAGATTTATTACTTGTATATTCAGTTAGAGGGAAAATAGCAAGTATATTCAAAATGTTAGCATTGAGAAGAAAACAAGAATTGGGAACAATTCAAGAACTTAACATGTTGTTTTTCAATTTAAGAGACTTTATGTGGTAAATACATTGCATTCATTATAAGGTCAAAGATCTGAGGCAAAGAGATAAAGGCATTACAGCCTACCTTGACAATCTGAAATCATGATGAACCAAGGAAACCAATCCCTGTATGTATTCCTCTAACTTCCACCTAGGCACTGTGGTATGCTATATGTATGGTCCTTATCACATACATAACAAAATATGTAAATGTAATAAAACATCTCAAAATCATCAGTCTATATCTTGTGTGCATGGTAGTTTAATTCATATAAATCAGCATACATATATTTTGAAATGTATAAATCATATACATGAAGTACACTCACTAATCAAGCATATAGGTATCTATCAAAACTGTTGGCTTCTTTAAGTTCAACGCTTACAGTCTTTGATAAGTGGTATAAATAGGGATTTAAGAGATAAGAAGGGCTGAAGAGCTGGCTCATCATTTTAAAACACTGGCTCCCTTCCAGAGGTCCTGAGTTTGATTCCAAGCAACCACATGATGGCTCATAACCATCTGTAATGAGATCTGGTACCTCTTCTGGCTTGCAGGCAGAATGCTGTATGCATAATAAGTAAGTATCTTTTTAAAAAGGTAACAAGTAGATTAGGAGTATGTTACATGCATGTTGCTTTGTTAACTTATTTCCATCCTTTTTATACTATCCTGAAGCATTTCTAGATGATTTCATAATATGACACTGAGAAAACTTGGAGTATGTCTAGAAATCACAAATGTCAAAATTGGGAAAAAACTACAGAAATTTCTAAGTTTAAAAACTAAACAGTCAGTAGTAGATCAGTACTTATCCCTAGCATAGGACTTTGGGAGCCCATTCCCCATAGAGGGATACTCCCTCAGCCTAGACACATGGAGGAGGGCCTAGGCACTATCCCAAAGGATATGACAGACTCTGAAGACACCCCCATGGAAGGCCTCACCCTCCCTGGGGAGCAAAAATGGTATGGGATAAGTAGGGTGCTAGTGGGGGGCAAGGGAAGAGAGGAGGGAGAGGGAACTGTTTTATTGACACATAAAACAACCTTGTTTCTAATTTAAATTTAAAAATGGAGAAGAAAAACTAAACAATCACATATTTATAATTTTTAATGTGCTTACATTAGTTATTGGAACTTCTTAGATCAACAGTATCCCAAACCAATAACATCTAGGAATGAGGGAGTAAAGTCTTACTAAGCATCTACAAACTGTTTCCTTTAGTGCAGCATTTTCTGTGTTGTGTGTGCTCAGTAAATATTAGTCTGTTAAACTTTACAGTTTGTTTAGGTAGTATCACATACAGTTTTACTCTTACAACCCAAACTATTGAAACTTCACCATTTTAATCAATCAAATATCCAAATATAATGCTGCCAAGAGCATGATCTAATCATTTAACTGGTGATGTGCAGATAAGTAGAAACATTGTCAGTAATTAGAGTATAAGCTGTAGCAGGACAGTCAAGGCTGTTAACATTCTCCAGTGGTCTCTCCTGAGATGATGGCACCTTTGTATTAGCATGTAATCCAGTGGCAAGGGATTGTAAGACCTTCGGAAAGCTCAGGCTTCCAGGATCTTATAGCCAAGGACCTCGGCCACCCCAATCAACAGGCAGAGGAAAAAGCTTGATGCAAACTGCATGAGGCTTTATTGTTTAATGAGCTAACCCCATGTTAGCTCGGGTCGTTCATCCACCCACCATGGCAGATGGCTAACAAAGACAGCTCGAAGGAGCTGCATGGAGATCTTATAGGGCAGCGTAAGGGGAGTATCTAGGGGTACGCACAGGCTCAGGATTAGTGTGCCTCCAGGCTTGGAGGGCTTGCCCTGTGTTGATTGGCCAACTGGTTGTTATGGCCCATAGGCCCTCCCAGGGTGGTTGCTATGCTCTGCGAGTCATTGCTGTGCGCTTGTCCGTAAAGCACACCCAGAGCCACAAAGCATAGCGCCACCAGCTAACTTCTGATTGGTTCCTTGCCACGAGGCAGGCATCTGACTTTCTAGTGACTAGGACAAGGTCAGACAAGCACATGTTCAGCTGTTACGGCTGCCGAAATGGGGAGCTGGCCCCTTCAGGATTATGTTAAAATGGAGGTTTAAATTAAACCTAGGATGGTTTCCTTTCAAGGTCACATGTTGCTGATGCTGCCAATTCGCACCAAAGTTGAAAGTAAAACAATAATGAAAGTCTTTATTCTATATCCAGTAACCATGAAAATGAGGCTCAGACTGTTAATTAGCTTAGCACCACATAAAAATTAGCCAGACGTAATCTGATTCTGAGGCTAGATTTTGCCTTTCATCTATACTATAGCACTCACTAAAAAGATTGTTATAAAAACAAAGATTAAAAAGAAACCCAAGATCATAGACTTTCCATGAATAGTAGCAAAGATGTAATAAGAAATAAAGCAGTAGTGGCACAAGCTGGGATGAACCAGCACTCAAGAGGCAAGAGGGCAGTGGATCTCTGAGTTCAAGGCCAGCCTGGTCTATAGAGCTAGTTCCAGAACGGCCAGGGCTACACAGAGAAAAACTGTCTCAAAAACAACAACAACAACAAAGGAATTTCTGTTGAAACTCAATGCCAACACCATTTCTCATATTAATAATTAC